GGGTGAGGTGAGGACTAGCATCTTGAATTTCTGAGCCTAATTCCAGAAAATGACAGAATTTTCCTAAAACAGGCAGCATAGCATATTAGAAAGGGCTGGGGAAGTTGTGTGGACAGCAGAGTGAAGAGAAAGTAACTGGGAGTTCCTGGGCGTCTCACAGGAGCTGAGCAAATGGTCAGAGAACCAGTTGACTGGAACTGCCCAGGAAGCCGGTAGAGGCTTGCCCTGCGAGGTTCCTACGAGGTCCATGGAGTTCAGCAGCCAGAGCTAGTGGCCAGGGCCTGTACAACGTGCTCATCACACCCACATCCATAGTCACACAAAGCCAGCAGGGCATCACACCCGGAGTCATACAGACACTAATCAGCCACCTCTCAATGAACCCAGTAGGACCCAACAGGCAGAACGTGTACTTGGGTCCCTCTCCCGCACGTCACAGAATGGTTACGAGAGAGCTCCCCTGGCCCCTAGATATTGGCTGGGGAGAAGAAATAGCTCTGATTGGGAATAAATCATGTGTTGGTCCTCCCAAAGGCCTGCTTTAACCAGGGGAAATTGAGATACTTTAATGTCAAGTTTAAGTACCAGTCCCTGAATGCCCCACCCCCCAATCTATCTGGAGCCAGATAGATACATTATAGAGAATATAGGAAGTTATTTCACCCCTCCCAACTAACTTTCTTCTTTCCGTCCTTTCTTCTTGAGTTTTCTGAGTTATGTATGGTGTTATTCCATATATGTCCCCCCGTTTGTAAGAACAAGTAATAAATTAGCCCCAACTATTTCTTCCTCTCATCCATAAGAATACTAGATGTCAAGAGAAAACATTTATAGGAAACTTATTTGGATGGTATCCTTTTCTTTTAAGCACCTGACAAAATTATTCTTCCCCCTACCCACATCCCATTCCTTGTAGGTTTTTAAGAGGAGACAATATTATATTCTAACTAGTTACCCAGTAGTTCATTAATTATTCTTTAAAAAAAAAAAAAGGATATTAGGTATGAACCATCTGGAGAGCACTGAGTTGTTTTTAAGGTACTTTTATCAGTATCTAGAAAAATTGTCTTGGAGTAGCACCTTACATCCTCTTTTTCAGTTTATCAATTCTAATTCCCAGTTTTTACAATTTCAACTATGTATGGAAGATTTTCTCCCTTCTTTCCAGAGAGCATATTAATAATTGCATGAGGTAGAACACATTTTCCAAAACAACCATTACAACTGAAGGCAGAAAAAAAGTCAAATCCTAACATCAGAAGCCTTGCCTGTTGCAGAAGCCCCATGACATTTTTATAAAGAGGCAATACTCTCTTGCCAAACTTTCCCCTCTTTCAATGGAGAGAGAGAGAGAGAGAGAGAGAGAGACAGAGAGAGACAGAGAGAGACAGAGAGAGAGAGAGAGAGAGAGAGAGAGAGAGAGAATGAGAATGAGAATGAATTACAGTGGCTAGATGCTGTCCAGATCAAACTCTTTTGTATCATCCATGAAAAACTCCACTCCAAAATTAAGAGTTGGTTTGGCATGAGCTGAAAGTCTGATAATGTTCACGGAAAAATTAAATCCCTCAATCCTTAACAAACAGAAGATTTATAATGCCTCTGTGCGTCATTGAAATTCTAGGTACGCTGAGGTTTGATTAAGTCGAGAATGAAAACAAAGGGCAAAAACTTAGCTTGCTACTGCACAGAGAGGCTCAGTGTGATGCTGCGACATCAGGTTTCTGTTTATCCCCAAGGCTGGTGCAGCAATGACTTCAAAGTTTGATGGTGGTTTTCTTTTTCTTTTTTTTAATTCTTTCTTTTTTTTTTTCTTTCTATTTTTTCTCTCTCCAAAGACTTTGAGCAGCAGGCTAATGGGTCCCCAGCAGGGTGCAAAGACAGCAGAAAGCATGAGAATCAGATGTCAATGTATTCCTCTGAGATACCCTGCTAGGACAGAGCTAACTAAGCAAGGCTTTAGTCCTCTCTCGGGGAGCACGCTTTGCTGGTTCCCTGCCCACTCCTGGCTCCCTATATGCTTCCTGATTAAAATGCTGTCACAGATAAATCATGACTTCTGCCTATTAGGACCATTTCTATTTTTTTTAAAAGAAAAGTTTGGAACCATAAGATTAAAAAGATGAGCAAGTTCTGGAGAATTATATACTCACCTATAAACATGTTGTATTTCCCTATTATGTAGCGATCTGTGGGTCTGGGACTGCTGTCTTCAGGTTCCTTCCTTACTCACTACTTTATCTCTATATTTTTATGTATTTTCTCTCAGTCGCTTTTAGTCAATTACTACATTACTGAAGTCTCTTCCTAATGAATAGATTTTTCTGGGGTGAAAGGTTTCTCATCGTTTTACCTCAATATACTCACTGAAGTCATCCCAGAGATGAGAGTTTCAATTTTAAATGTAATGAGCACCCAAAACGAACTGGTGTACTTTTTTGCAAGTTCTTACCTTGTCATACAAACAAGTAGCCCTTCAGGCACCTGAGAGTACCTATTATCTTTATCCTTTGCTTGGAGAGGGGACAAAACTCAGCAAACCAGGACAAGCAGAGAGTACATGATCTATTTTGCTATTTGACAAGCACGATCCTCTCAGAACCATGAACTAAAATCCAACTTACCTAGTGAAATCAATGAAGTTAAAAGTTGTATTAAAACCATAGTTGCATCTACTTCCCACTTGCATCTCCACTCTCCCTGACCAAACCCTGGATTCTGTCCTGCTGTCCCACCCAGCAGCCTCCAGCGTGGAGGTCCCTCAGCAGACTGCATTTCTCCATGCTGCTCCACCTGCAAGGGGATTCTAGCTCTCGATGTAAGCAACCTCGGTTACTATGTGAGGTTTCTTGCCACGTAAACCTGCCCCACCTTCAGGTCAGGGTCTTGGTCATTAAAAGAGACATTCTTTGTCTCATGTCCTATTTTATATCCTTTTGCTCTATGCCCAGACTGACTGGCAAGGCCACGATTTTTATGCTCTGTGATTCAAACCGTGTCATTTCAAACAAATCACATTTGGGATTCCTGCCACCTGCATACTTTCCCATTTGCCTTTTGTCCTCTCAGACTCTTTATTATTGCACTTGCGTGCTTGAAATCCCAATAACAACCAGAGTTTCTGCATACATTTTGCCTCAGTGACTAGTGTCACATCAGTGACTTTTCTTGCTTAGCGAGTCATTTCCTCAAGATTTTGTGTCTTCGCACTAATGGTGATTCCTTTCTATTGACCGATTCCATTTTAGTTCTGAAGCACCAACCATTAATGTGCAATTGTCTAGCTCAATAAGGAAAAACTCACTGTGTGAAGTGGAACAAAATAGGACCTTCAGAGAGAATACTTTAAATCACTTTACAAAGTTTCAGTTTGCAGGCTTTTTGAAGGGTTGGTTTCAAAACCTTGTAAAGAATTTGAAAATAGAATCGATGAGATAATTTTTTAAGATTAGTGATGATAAGGAATTCAGAAAAGAATATGATTTTCTTGCTTTGTTAACCAAGAAGATCTAGCAGCAGGTGTAAATGTGAACTTTAACACACAGCTCCTTTCACATTGCTCTTTAGATTGCCATTACTCTCCCCAGTTAGTTTCATAAGAAAACAGTGTAGAACTATCCAGCAGAAGTGGAATGGGGCAGTAGAAAGGCTATTACACCAAAATCAAGGTCCTGGATGGGCGAGACGCAACTCTCATCTGGTGGCAGTGTCACTTAACATTTCTATATGTTAATTTCCTGTGGCTACAGATAGCAGGTGTAACTAACCTTACAGGTAAGCAGTAAAGTAAAACAGAAAAGTCAGGAATGATAGATAATGTGATATGGTACTTCTTAAATTCTGGAAATTGCTATTTTCAGTTTAAATTCAAGGAACTTCGTTTTTAACCTGAAGTATTCCAAGTATTCAGTAGGAAATATAAGATAAGCCCAAATGATTGTGAATCAGTAATGAAACAAATGAACATGGAAGAGCACGTGAGCATCCTTTTCAGCGTTTACTATAACTAATCACTTTGGAAGTGTGCGTTGACTTTGAGTTCATTCCAAAGTAGCTTTGCAAACCAGTACCAAAATTTTATCAAATCCACAAATACATGTCTTCATCCTCCTAAGCTTTACCTATATAAAAGGAATTTATTAATTGCAAGAATAATTTATCCATCTCATTTATTGCCTAAATGTGCACAGGAAACCGAATAACAAAAGAATAATTCAATATGTAGTGTCAAGGTCACTTTAGCAAAGGAAGATATACCTGATCCAACAGCTGTGGGCTTTATACATGGGGGCCCAACTTGTTCTGAGATACCAGAGGATTGAGGATGGGAGGAGCAGACAGGAAGAAAGGAGAGCAGAGGATCTTCTTATAATAAAGGCTATGTCACTCTTGATTTTTTTCACCTGACCTATCATTATTAAATAAAAGAACGCTATATTCCATTTATAACTAAAATAACCTATTTTAGATTATTTTAAACTTTGCTTTTATCCTAGCATGTATTTAACAGTTAAACATAAAACAAACAAAAAAACAAATTTACTTTTGTTATTTATAATTATTAAAAAATTACATCTTCGAGGCAGTATTCTAAGGGTTTTTTTTTTGTTTTGTTTCGTTTTTAAGGATAACGTGACAGGGCTTAGCAATTCCTAAAAGTGCTGAAACAAAGTGGTAGATAAGCCTGAAACTTAATGGTTGTGAGGTCCTTAAAAAACAATACTGCATTTTTAATGGAGTTACACAGAGGGAGAAAGTAAAGCGGTTTCGTCTTCCCTGCATGTGTTTTCTCATTTGAAGTTAGAGAAGAAGTTCAGTCTGATTGAGCTAGGTAGGGGGTAAAGAACGTGCCAGGTTTTACACATGAAAGCGAAGGCTTAGAAGCAGAATTAAAAGCCAAGGCACAGCAAACTGCCAGAGTTAACGGATCCCAGCCCTAACCCATACTCAAATAGTGGCGTGTGCGCATTCAAAGTTGATGACACTTGTCTCCTTGCCAGGAGCCGGTCCTGAACACAAGGCAGCAGAGCTGGAAACCATTAGTGAATCTTGCTCAGAAGTCAGTGGTCGGCATTTGTCACATGCATCTCAGCGAGAGGCATATTTTTTAGATGGAAGGGGCTTCACCAAACTCCATGGCCCAGACCATGGGGTTGAAGCAGAAAACCGTGATTCATGGAATGCTCTTGTCTCTCATAATAATAAAAGTGAAAGAAAAATTATAAAAAAATGAAAAAGATTTCCATGGTCAAGTGTTTGAGAAATTCGGAGTTAATTAAGGTTAAACGTATGTCTTTCCTGAAGGACTTCTCTGAGCCTTCAGTATTTTGGTGTGCGGGGAGGTTCCCTAGTTACTGGGCCTGAGAGCTCTTTTTGCAGAGTTATCTATTAGGCTATGGCAGCATCCTCATGTTCCATGGGGCGCAGTTTGGGAAACATTGAGAAAAGCCTTATTATTCCTAATTTATAGATGAGAGAGTTGAGGCCCATGGAGATTATGTCTTGGAAGGAGATTCAGGTCTCTAGCATTGTAGTACCATCTTTTCCCAGGGGATGGGTCAAAAATCTGAGAAAAGATAAACTGTGACCGTAGTTCTTAGAAACATACACACCCTGAAGAGTCTCCTAAAACTAAAGCTTCTGAAAATACGGTACCTACACACTGGCTCAGTGAGGACACGCAGACCCTCCCGAATCATGAGTACCTGATACAAAGGCATACAGATGCTATCAATCCACTCCAGCTGCAACCGAGGCAGTTCATCTTTCCGGTTCCGATCAAAAATAGCCTAGAATGGAGGAGGAGAACTTTGCTTTATTACACTGGACTGTTTTACAGGTGCTTTGTCAAACACTTTGCCACAATGATCCAATTTTTACTAACGGAACTCTTCACAAATCACAATCAATCTTTACACGTACTTTCTTTTCTTTTATCTATGATGAGAAATAAAGTATTTTCACCTCTTTTTATGAGATTTGTAAGTGAATTTATTTGAACTTTATAGCACACAACTCCTTGGGGCCAAAATCTGCCTTCAGACACTGGTAACTGCCACTAAATCAAGTCATCAGGTCACTGGGAATTGGGTACAAATCAAGGGGAAGGGGGTGTGTTTTAGTGCTACAAAACAGTGTATTTTTACAGTGAAAGAGGGTGGGATAGTTTGGAAAAGATCTTTAAAAGCAATTTTATTTTAAATAGAAACTGTATGTATTAATTTTTCTGGGTGAGTGTTGGTTTGGCAATTCTGTGTGTTTTTCGGTAAAGTTCTGTCTGTCATTGATAAACTCCTAATTTTTTATCTATCACTGGATGGATGATGGTAGAAGGTACCCATCTCTCCTCATTCCCAGTCTTTAAACTTTATGATACAATGTTTGGAAAATTTAGGTACATTTTTGAGAAAAGGAAGTGACATATTTCTATTGGGCAGACATAAAAAGGAAAACAATCAGTTGGAATTGGAGAGCTAAAACAGATTCCTTCAACAAACACTGCCACTTCTACTCCAGTGAGAAAGTCCCTCCCTTTGTTCTTAAGGACTTTGTTCTTAAGGCCAGGGTTTAAGAGGTGACTGACCTTGCCTGGCCTTATTGTCTTTCTTCCAGATAAAAGGTGCCATCCACATTGTTCTGGTATTCACACAGGTCATGAGGGAAGATCCAAGACATCCCCTTTAACGTCCCCCAGAGATGTTAAAAAATCCTGCATCCTTTAGACTTATGAATGAGGGTGGGTATGGGTGGGACAGAAGTCACCAGCTGCCAAGGCTCACAAGATAGGAAGGTACTGCTGCGGGAAATATCTCCAAATTAAGGAGAAGGTCACTGACTCCCAGAGGCTCTGCACATCTTTTTCTTGCAATATGAAATGTTAACTATTAGGAAAGAGGACTAGAATTTGGAGACCATGAAATGTGCTGGAGAAAGGGATGATTCTTGGGAACTGAGTGAGTCTTGGTCAAAAGTGTTCCTTTAAAAAAAATTATTCTGTTTTATCTTCTCTATAGCCCTCATTGTTATCTGAAACATTTAAAAAATTTTTTTAAATATCTCATTTGTCTAATTACTCAGTTTCTGGTACATAGAATACGGTTAAATTTTTAAAAAACAGTGATTTCAGTATATTCACAATCAGTTGTACAGCCATTAACAGTCAATTTTTGTCACCCCAAAAAGAAATCCCATACCAATGTCATTCCTCAGTCTCCCCCAAATCACCAGCTTTAGGCAACCACTAATCTACTTTCTGTTTCTATAGATTTGCCTGTTCTGCACATTTCATATAAATAGAATCATATGCTATGTGGTCTTTGTGACTGGCTTCTTTCACTTAGCATAACGTTTTCAAGGTTTATTCCTGTAACATGCATTAGCACTTCATTCATTTTTATTGCCAAATGATAGTCCATTGTACAGATATATCATATATTGTTTATCCATTCATCAATTAATGGACATTTCGGTTGTTTCCACTTTTTGGCTATTATGAATAATGCTGCTATGAACATTCATGTACAAGTTTTTGTTTGGATGTATGTTTTCATTTCTCTTGGGGATATACCTAGCGGTAGAATTGCTGGGCCATATGATAACTCTAATGTTTAATGTTTTGAGGGTTTGCCAAACTGTTTTCCAAAGCAGCTGCATCATTTTATACTCCCACCAGCAATGTAAAAGTTCCAATTTCTCCATATCCCTGCCAACTATTGCTATTGTCTGTCTTTTTTATTATAGTCATCTTAGTGGGCGTGAAGTAGTATCTCACTGTGATTTTAATTTGTGTTTCCCTTAAGACTAATGATTTTGAACATGTTTTCATGTGCTTATTGGCATTTATATGTATTCTCTGGAGAAATGTCTATTCGAACCCTTTGTCTATTTAATGAACTGGATTATTTGTCTTTCTATTGTTAAATTGTAATAATTCTTTATATATTCTAGATACTAGGCCCATATCAGATATACGATTTGCAAATAATTTCATCCATCCTATGGGTTATCTTTTTAGTTTCTTGATAGTGTCCTTTACGCACAAAGGTTTTCATTTTGATGAAATCCAATTATCTATTTTTTCTTTTGTCTCTTGTGCTTTTGGTATCATATCTAAGACACCATCACCAAATCTAAACCAGAAGATTTATACCTTGTTTTCTTCTAAAAGTTTTATAGTTTTAGCTCCAACATTTATGTCCATGACCCATTTTCAGGTTATTTTGGGGGTATGTGAGAGATAGGGGTCCAACGTCATTTGCATTTGATATCCTACTGTCCACGCACCATTTGGTGAAAAGACTATTTTTTCCCCACATTGCATCCTCTTGACACCATGTCAAAAATTGATTGACCATAACTGTAAGGGTCCATTTCTGGACTAGTCATTTCTTAATAAATGCTTGATGAGTGGAAGTGTGAGGTAACATACTGTCCTGGCTTTCCCTTTATAGCATTTTGCATCTTGCTATTGATTATTAGTGATTAGTTATTTAATGTCTATGTCTCCCACCAGTCAACAAGTTTTTTGAAGGCAAAGAAGATGGCAGTGCCCAGCTTCATGCTTGATATCTGGAGGTGCTCAAGCATGTTCTATTAACTGACTCACTGGTTCTACTACCAACCCTTTGGCTGTAGCCCAGATCAGCTTTTGTCCTCATGAAGTTACGCTGATGACCTTTAGGACCAAGACACCTGAAGGCGGCTTCTGGATAATTTTTTTCCTAAATATCAAGGAATAATGAACACGGCAATGTCAGCTCTGGGTGCATACATTTCTAGACATCTTTGGAAAAAAGACTGATGAGGGATACTTCTGCCACAGCAGCCAGAACCCAGTCATTAGCCATGTTAAGTAGCCTTTTGTGAGGAGAGAGTAGCATTTAGAGCTATCTGTCGACCACAAAATCAATTTCATTTATGTCTTCAGAAAACGCCTTCTTGGAGCCTGCAGACAAAGGCTCCTTAGTGCTGCGCTATTGCAGCTGCCAGCTCACCAATGCTGGTAACTGACTCATATTTTTTAATTTAATTAAATGACCTGTGGTACTGCTGCGTTGTAAACCCTTCAGAGGATGCCTTTAAAACAGTTTTTTAAAGGAAGGAAAAGCTTTTATTTGAAAATAGATATATAGCTGAGACAAATTTGGGTTGTACTAGCTTTTACACATTAACTATCTATTCCAATCTAGTATCTTTATCTTTATTATAACCAAATTTGGAGACATCACAAAAAAAGAATAAAGGTATGTTTTGAAAACAGTATAAATAGATGTTGCTTTGGAAACTAAAACAATTGGTGAGCATTTTAACCTGTGCAGTCTTCTGGCCTTTCATAGGTATGCAACAAATTAAGAATAGTCAAAATTAGTAGGACTGTAAGTTCTGACTTCAAAAAAAAAAAAAAAAAAAAAAAAGGAAACTGAACTAGGAGCTGGTTCTACTGCTTTTCCTTGCTTTTAAATGTCATCAAAGAAAGGTGCCTTAAAACTTGAAGATCTTATAAATACCTCCAAATGTTCAAAAGTCAGTTGATTTGAATCCTCATAAACAGACATTCTGGACAACTGACACATTTCTTGAGCTTCCCTGAATCTACTGTGCTGTGCCAAGCATTAAAATACTTTGCACCATTCTCAGAGTCATTGGGGTTTTAGCTAACCATTCATTAAGAATAAAAAGTCTACCCCCTCCTTGAGGGCGGTGACCAAGGCATTTATATCTTTTGTATCATGATGAGTAAAAACAGCACTATCCTGAGCTTACAGTAAGCATTCTCAAATAATATTTGAATGGATGAATCCAATATAAATAGCATTTCAATCAGCAGAACCTAGTTCCCCAGGAAACTTTTCATTTTGCAAACAAAGAAAAAAAAAAGACTTGAAATGATTTGCTTTTGAGATTTTGGAATGGTCAAAATGGGAAAATAAAATCTAGAATATCATGATTCACTGCAGCTGTCTGTTCTAGTTCCTCAAGTCTGGACAGCTTGCCTTTAATTTTTTCTGCATTTCTGTTCCGAAGTAGCCATTGACCACATCTGAAATTCTAGCACTAGGCTTTGAATTATTCAAATGCCACTCTGCACATCCTCCCTTGTGCCTACTTGTCCCTCTGTGGGTGCTCAGGAAATTCTTGTTAAGTAGCTCACCACTCTTAATCAGAAACCTGGGAATAAGAGTGCTTAGCATCCAAGTTTAATTAAAGTTTTAAACTTTCAGGAGGGCTTCCTTAAGTCCATTCTCAATCTTTCCCATTTTCAACTTGTGATTTGGAGTCATTTTAAAAAATGTCATTCAACAGGGTAAATACGTCACAATAAAAGGATGAACTTACGGAAGGAATGAGTTTGAGTTCTGCTCTCTCCCGATCTCCTTGTTCGAAGAACTCACTGGTTACAAGTTCAGCCACCTGAAACATATACATATTTCAATTTATGGCTATGTATGATTTATCATGAGACTCAGGAGTTATTTCTGGCTTGTGTGTATGGCAATTATCTTCAACAGAGACAATCATTTGAAAAGCTTATGAGGAAGTACATTAATCTTTTGTATATGAAGATATTATAGAATTTAATCAATAAAACGGATTTCCTTTTAATCAGAAGAACTTGTGCAATTTATTTTTACATGCATACCAACAGACAATTTCCAACAGCATAGCTTGCATATTTGGGATGAAGAACCTAGGTTGCCACCTTCAAAGTAGGAAATGTCCTTAACCAGAAAATGAAGCAAATAATAACGTAATAATAATTTATGCTATTATATTACTATAATATATTTGTAGTAATAATTTAGCCCACTTTTGGTTGTTTCTTTGTAGATTCTTTACATCGTTGCATATTTTCATCTTAACCTGGTTTAATTTTACCCTCACAAAAACTCCTTAACTGTGTCGCATTACCAACATCTGTGTGCATCTGGAAGAGTACCCCAGGGCACACTCTGCTTCCTACTGTAGCAATGAGGCACGGGGCAGGACTAATGCTAGATGCACTGTTCATACCAGACTTCTACAGTATGACACCATATAGTTTGAAGAGCTCGATTTGCTCTTCCGCCTGAATCTGTGTATTAAAAATATTCATTGATGGTAGGTTCTAGTCGGTTCAAGTACAATGGGATGGCTGTTTTACCTGAAACCATAGGCATTTTTCCAAAATAAGGACTGGTATTTTTCCACTTTTCATTCATTAGTGTGGATGATCAGAAGCTACTGATCATAGTCGAGCTAAAGAGACGTTTTTCTTTTCTAAGCCCTGTGCTTCTAAGAATAGCTTTATAGGAGGCAAACTGATATAACAGTTTAGTGTTGAACAGGTATTTTCAACAACACTGTGGTGTGCACCTAGGAAATCTCTGAGATGAACTAGTTGGATTTACAAAATATTAGAAGAGCAGAAAATTATCATAGACAACTTGATGACAAGATCTGGATCCCCAGACTAACTTTTCCCTATTCCAGGCTCTTATAAAGATGAGGTTCTTAGCCCTGGCAAAGACTAGAAGGGTTTAATTTTGATCAAGTGCATAGAATCAAGATAATTTACCTAAGTGAATCATTCAAGAACTTTTGTCAACCATAAATCGTAACCATTGATAAGATGTAAAAACTTCTCTCTCTCCTCTCTCTCTCTCTCTCTTCTCTCTCTCTCCCCTCTCTCTCACGCACACACGCAAATTTGAGAATAGCAAGTATAAAGTCATTTATAAAGAAATAGAATATCTAGTCAGTTCATAATTTAAACATTTAAAAATTTCAACAGCATAAAACTAGTTGGAACTGACTAAATTTTTCTAAGACTCAATTCACTTTTCTCCTCTCCAGTCTCTGCCACTACCTTTTACTTTAGCACTCTAGGCCTCTTTCTGCTTTTGGCCCTTTTTAAAAGAAGGAATGGTTCCCTAAGGGTGTGGCCTTATTTATTCATTTCCCAGACTCTCCCTCAGATTGCTCTGAGGTAGGGCTATTGCACTAGAGAATGCAAATGTGCAATCAGGTCACCCCAAAGGTGGGAGTCTTGATAGGTCTGTAGCTTCTAGAAAGCAAAGAAATTAAAACAAAATCCTGTCCTTGATCTTTCTAAAGTGGTCCTGGGTATCCCCCCTGTGCTTTTTCACAGCTCAACTGGTACCACTGTTTTGTTTGTACTTAAAAACCCAGTCAGGAACATTAAGTGGCTCCTGATGGAATTTCTTATTAAAGAAGGAAATTGAGATGCTAATCAGGCCTTACGGATCACCAGGGAACCCACATGCTTTGCATCATGTTTGTGAGGAAGGAAAAGTAGTATAGACACCAGTGAAAAACATTTTGCAAGGGAATCTAAAAAATCAACATCCAGAAATTAGAAATATGTTTATATTTTTAAAGAAAGATTCTATTGTTTCTGTCCAAATGTTTCCTAAAATCATAAAAGTGACTATGTTTTTGAAAATATCTTAACCTTTTCAAGAGACAAACAAATGAGATCTCCAGTTTAGAGTTGTGATAAGATTTCTGATGAAAACATTTGGAAAAACATGGCTTTGTGTTTTATTTCTTTGAACTACTGAGTTTCTGCACTTAGCTGCAGAAGTTCACATCCTAAAAATAAAATAATATTTACATCGGTGACCAAGAAGACCACCTACAAGTGGCCATTGGCTTCTTTGGTCTAAAACATCAGTGCAGAAACTTTTTTCCTTCTAAGTACTTTATCCTCTTACTCCTTCTGTCCCCAACCCCAAGTGCGCTGCTGCCCCTTTAGTTCTTGACGTGCATTTCACTGGGGTTTCTGAAAGCCTTGGCACATCATACCTCACCCCTCTCCCTTTCCAATCTTCTCTATTTTTTCCCCAGGTCTCCCTAACTTTCTCCTACTCAACACCCCTCCACTCCCCTTCCATCTCTATTGTAGTGGCCACCCCCAGGACCACACTTTTTCCCAGTACCTAGGAGAGCCACCTACCTCTTCTCTGCAGTATACTCTCAGATTTCACTGCAAGGGGGGCCTTACCATACTGGGGAAGTGAAGAGTGGGTAGAGATGTAGAAATAAGCCACTTGACCACACAAATTCTTCACACTTACCCTGCTTTATGTAACTTCAAATATGTCACATTAAAATAAAGACCAACGCTCAATTGGAAGAGAGCTATTTATTGGAGGAGAGTTCTATAGGAAAACTGCCCAAACTGTATTGGATGGTGATGTGAGCAAGAAATAAACTTTTGTGTTAAGCAACTGAAATTTAAGACTATATCTGTTATTACAGCAAAACCTAACCTAGCCTTGATTAACACAAAAATTGGAATGGAATTGAGGTGCTGTTGTTGAGAGAGAGAGAGAGAGAGAGAGAGAGAGAGAGAGAGAGAGAGACCACTTTATTAATTGCTTACTTGCCTCTGTTCCCACTCAATAAAATCAGCTTGAGACTATGGATCATGTCTTTTTTATTTCTATTTCATTAGAGCTTAGCATGACTGGCATAATTTTGATGCTCAATAAACTTTCAAATAACATAATAAATAAGTGAATAGATGAACAGGAGGGAAGAAAGGAAAGGAGGAAGGAAGGAAGGAAGGAAGGAAGGAAGGAAGGAAGGAAGGAAGGAAGGAAGGAAGGAAGGAAGGAAGGAAGGAAGGAAGGAAGGGAGGGAAAGGAGGGGAGAGTGGGGAGAGGATGGGTGGGAAGGGGGAGGAAGGAAAAAAAAAGGAAAGAAAGGAAAAGATTCTAAAATATATGGCATTATCTTGGGGACCAGGTATAAAATAGTGAAGAAATGGTTGTTAGAGGCTATAAGGATGGTGATACATGTTACATAGTAGCAAAATATTTTGTACAAATTCTCACTGAAATAAAGCAAAGCATGTATCTAATGAATTTCTGGCCTTAAGGGAAGAGATTGGAACACAAAATGTTAGTAGCATGTGATGATTGCTATTGACTGTTTTTCTAGGTATTATAAGAAGTGAGCTCAGAAAAAGATTGGCAAGTTTAGAACAAGGAATGAAAGGGAATAGAGAAAGTTACAAATTCAGGGTCTTGAAGGGATGGAAGATGAAGCTACTTCTTAACCCTAAACTGTAAAAATAAAAATTGAGATATATTTTGAATGACAAAGGCTGATCAAGACAGCCTTGCAACAAGAATCCAATCAAAGGTATGGCCAGTACATTATTCATAGTTAAAAACTCTGAATGAATCAGGTAGTTCACAGGACATCCTTTCAACTGGAAAAAATGGCCCAGAGAAATGATTTAAATACATAATTCCCTCACTGGCACTTGTTCGGTACAAAGTACTGGGAATTAAGTCATTAGAGAGAAAGAAGGATGTATATAAGCACATTTCTTTGTTCCTGAATATAAGGGAGCAAAGAAATACAGCAGATCTAAAAAGTTTATATAGAATAGAACTGTGGATGTGGTTATTGGTAAATGGAAATGACTAGACACAAAGACATAGGAAGCCAACTAAATGTTGTAGAGTTTTGGTGCCAGAATTAACCACAAGTCTGTAACTACTTAAAACTTAAAATAAGCCTTGGGCTTTCAACTTTCTTTAGGTAGAAGTAGGCCTGGAAAGCTGCTTGGCCTTCAGATATTGCCAAGGAGAATAATGGAAAAGGGATAATTTATCAGCATGGATCTAAAGGCCATAGAAAATAATGAACTCAGGAGCATCTCCTAGAGAATCAGGGCCCGCCACAGAGTGGAGCACCTTCACAGTAAATGCTCAGTGCGATTTTGGAATTACCATGGCTCCCTAACTGCCAGATGTTGCTATCTCTTCCCTTTCTGAATGGGAGTGTTATAGTGAATATTTTGTGGTTAGGGTGTATGTTAGATGCTGCATTTTGGGTGTGTGTAGTTCTGTAATGTACATCCAGGCCCGATGTGGAGACCAGCATGTATCACCTAGACATCCTGAACTTCAAGCTTGCAACCATGACTTATGGGTCATTTCAGTCATCTCCCTTGGGGAGAGGATGAGCATATGTTGCTCGCAGGAAGGAGAATGAATCATATTTTTGGTTATTAAAAGGGCAAATTGTGGTAGTCATGTTTTACCAACTATTTCTGGCTTTCCACTTTCTGGGCACATGGAAGGATCGTATTTCCTGGTTGGGTGGGATTTTGTGAGAAGTTCTTGCCAATGAATTGTTGGCGGGGCATTTAATTTAATTTAGTGCCAGACCCACCAGGGCTTCTGCTCGAATGATCCAGATAGTGGCTGTTCCTTCAGACCCAGTCCAGATTAAGGACAAAGAGGTGCCACCCACCCTGGATGCCCAAGTCCTAATCTGCTAGGATTTGAATACCTAGCTCCACCACTTACTTGCTGTATAACCTCAGGCTACATATCCTTTCTAAGCTTCATTTTTCCTGTTTGCAAAACAGGGATAATCATTGTATTAGTTTCTTGGGGCTGTCATAAATTACCATATAAATTAGCATAAATTAAAACAACGAGAATTTATTCTCTTATAGTTCTGGAGGCCAGGAATTCAACATCAGTTCACTGGACAAAATTCAGGGTGTTGGCAGGGCCACACTCCTCAGAAGCTGGCTTTCCACTTTCTGGGCACATGGAAGGATCGTATTTCCTGGTTGGGTGGGATTTTGTGAGAAGTTCTTGCCAATGAATTGTTGGCGGGGCATTTAATTTAATTTAGTGCCAGACCCACCAGGGCTTCTGCTCGAATGATCCAGATAGTGGCTGTTCCTTCAGACCCAGTCCAGATTAAGGACAAAGAGGTGCCACCCACCCTGGATGCCCAAGTCCTAATCTGCTAGGATTTGAATACCTAGCTCCACCACTTACTTGCTGTATAACCTCAGGCTACATATCCTTTCTAAGCTTCATTTTTCCTGTTTGCAAAACAGGGATAATCATTGTATTAGTTTCTTGGGGCTGTCATAAATTACCATATAAATTAGCATAAATTAAAACAACGAGAATTTATTCTCTTATAGTTCTGGAGGCCAGGAATTCAACATCAGTTCACTGGACAAAATTCAGGGTGTTGGCAGGGCCACACTCCTCAGAAGGGTCTAGGGGAGAATCTGTTCTTTGTCTCTTCCAATTGCTGCTGGCTGCCAACATTCCTTTGCTTGTGGCTGCATCACCCTAATCCCTGCCTCATCTTCACATCACCTTCTCCTCTTCTGAATGTGTAATCTCCCTGTGCCTCTCTCTTATAATGACACCTGTGACTGCATTTAGGGCCAACCTAGATAATTCAGGATAGTGGTGATGATAATGACAATGATGGTCCTTAACTTAATCACATTTGCAAAGACCTTTTTTCCTTCTAAGGTAGTGTTTACAGGTTCCACTTACTACTTTAAATCCCATGGCCAACACAGTTGGCGCCTCATAAAACAGAGAGAGATTAACCTCAAATACTATCAGTAATCAAGGATCTTAAGTTGTGTAGTTACTGCTTGAAAACTATTCCTGCTTTAGAACTAACACTTTTTGGCAGTGAAATCAGATAGAGAGTAAAAACATGATTTGGGGGAAAATATTAATTTGGATACTGCACTCTTTGGCCAAAGAGCCCCCTGATCTTTAAATAGTCTTTGAAAAGCAAAACAGAATTTCCTTCTTACCTCCTTGGGTTTTTTGTTGTTGTCATTCTGTTTTGTTTTTTCATATGCGACCAAACCTTATGCTTACACATGATTATCTATTAAAAAACATTATTTTTGAAACCTTGCCTTATAAATGGTCAAAGTGTTATTTGGATTTAGCGTGTCAAAAAAAATCTTACAGAGAGTCAGACATATTATCAGGCTATGCTATAAACTACGCGGAGCCTAAGCCTCCTGCTATTTTTTACACCATGTTAATACTGATGCAAATTGACTAGGGTTTCAGTGCCTGGTAGTTGGGGCTCTGGGAATATCATACCCCCTCCCCCAGCCCCTCCTCTGCTGAGCCCTGCCATTAATCACCACTTGCCTGTCTCGAGATCTCCCACGGTTTGGTCACGGCTCCAAGGTCACAGGCTGTCATTAACATTGATCTGAAAAACAGAACCCGACAAAAGTCTGAATAATCTTTTGTTGCATTCCTACACAAACTTGTCCTAGATACATAAATAAATAAAACGGGACTGAGACCAGCTCACATCTCCTTTTCCTCAACAAGGGAAGCACTGTTTATGGTCCCCATGTTTAGCATCTTCATCCTACAGCCGCACGGCTCAGGAAGACAAAGCTCATACGCACCCTCCGTGGCCCTTTTGTTTTGCCTGCAGCAGATCAAGGAAAGCAAAGCATGACTTTCTATACCTGAGCTAAGCAAGCTCTGCCTAAAATAATTTGTAATGGACATTGCTTTTTATTTTTAAATATCAGCAAAGGAATCCGTATGTAATACTATATACACTGCCGATGAATCTATTTACCAGCTTACCACTGATTGATGGGAACAAAAGAAAACCTACACCGAAGAGGCGAGGCGCACACCACATCAGGAGCTACTGCTTTATCCTCTGCTCGGCAGAGCTAAGATTTATGAGTGAGAGCCACCCTGTTTCACTCCAGTTTACTACCTGGCTACGACCATGTTTTACAAGCATTACAAAGAAATGTATTCAGCTACAGCTTTCATTAATTTGAGCATGTAAGAAAGCACAGCAAAGATCTGAATCAGATTTGGAGGGGCAGATTTCTATTGGATTTCACTAGAATTCACACTGAACCGTGGATATAGAAACACGGGGAACAAGTCAAACCGTAGAGAGGTCTGGTGCTTATAATTCGATGTGGTGGGAAAGGGAGAAATAAGACACACTCTTTGTCCAAAGTCTGTTTTCTTTGTACTAAAAGCAGCAGCAGGCGATGAAAAGTAATGACGGATCTGAGCAGGGAAACCACGTCTTGGCCGGCTCCTTTTGGAAGGAAGGGTGTGTTGTTAAAGGTCAGAGGGCTGTCTTGATGTCAGGTGTTAACATTTCATACCCCGGCGGATTCCAGCGCCTTGGAAACGTGTCTGCTTCCCAGATGGCGGAGCATGCTTAGATGGTAGTGGAGTTTGTGTAACCCCCAGGATACTCCGCGAGGGAGCAAGGCAGAGTGGCAGATAACAATAGGTCATTCAGAACACAACCAGGCGCAGCAGCATCAGCAGCCCTCTCACTGAGGTCAGGCAGCGTCTAATCCCAAACACCCCTGTGCTAAATAAGTGCTGTGCAGAGACACGTCAGTCTACTCTTCATATTTGATCTTTTCTAACAAGCACTGCTCAGTTTGCCTGCCTCTGTACTAAGTGCTTTACCAACTAACTCCTAACTAAATGAATCCTCATCATAAATTTCTGAGGTAGGTGCTCTGATTCCTATTTTACAAAGAGGTAAATGGAAACATGGAAAGGTTAAGTCACTCTCCCAAAGCAAGTAAAGGATTCAGGATTCTGTGCTCAATACAAAGCTGCCAGACCTCCTCTCACTATACCCGATGCTTCTCATTTTAGGTTCTGCTGGTAGCAGAGGGGGACAAGACTAGGTAATGCCCTGGACTCTGCGGTCTCTCTCCTAGACAGGAAATAATTTCTGTGAGGTTGCCTACTTGTATAGTAACTTGGAAAATTACCTAGGTTCCACTTGTTTGATAATTTGAAGCTTACTTCTCAAATTCAAATTCATATAGTCATTAATTAGTCAATAAGTTCATTGGTCTTCTGCTAGGTGATCGGATGATGGTAATTCTAACAGCTACCATTTATTGAGCTGGCACCACAGGGTGACTTACATAGTCTCCATATGAGGTAGGTGTACAATTAGTGTCTCCATTTTACAAAGCAAAATAGTGCTTTGCAGTTTCGTGATTAGAGAGGTTAGGCAGATTGCCTGAAGTTACACAGCTAGGTATAGAAGCAAGGAATGGAATTCAGAAAGTCTGACAGAAGAATCTACTTTCAATGGCTATTTTACAGTGAAACAGAGAGTGTATATAGAGAAGGAAGACAGATAAAGGCTGGGAGGTCAGATGGTGGAGTGTCTGAAATCTTTATTTGATTGGTAAGGGGGCATCAGTTAAGGATGGGGGCTCAGGAGGGACCTAGCTAGACCTTCAAAGGGAGAACTTTCGGTAGTAGGTATGAAAATAGTTTGAAGAAGGAGAGAATGGAAGCAGGAAGACCAGATGGAAAGCATAAATTGACAAGGGCCTACAACGAAGAAAGGCAGGGAGAATGGGAAGGGAAGGATGGGGTGGGAGATTACACAGGAAGAACTAAAGGAGGTAAATGAGCAGTTTTGTCTTATTTTTAGACCAAGCCTCTGCAAGAAGTGAAAGGCCTTTTCTAGAGGAAGAGGGCGGAGAGAGTTTGTAGCAACTGTTTTAGTTTCAAGGTCTGAGTACTTCTGGTCCAAGTTACAGTTAAGTGGTATCAATCTGCTCAGTGCAATTGAATGAATAAACAGTCAGGAATAAAAAGAAAAATGTTGTAAAGCAGTGCTGTCTCTAGAGAATCTGATACAAGAGATCATTTTTATCATACCTCTTCTCTATATCTTACAATAATGGTTATTTTCCTGATTTGTTCTCTAGTTCGAAAACAATTAGGAACTTAAAAGGAACACATTTTAATTTTAAACACATATTCAAATTCTGTAAAAGATTTTCATGTATAAACTGAATTTTGCATTTACCAAACAAAAATATTACATCTCTCATCTTGTGCTGTTTCACTGTTTTAAATTTTAAACACAACAAATAAAACCCTAAACGGTCGCAAAAAAGGACAGAATTGAAGTAACTCAAGTTAAGTTTTTTCATCTTATTACTGTTCTATCCTTGTTTATTCTGAATATACTGTTTAAAAGCAGGACTGTGACACTTCCAAAGGACGAAGACACAAACTACACCCCGAGCCAGTGAAAAAGGTTCTGAACCATTAGGAGCTTACTCTTGAAAGTGTGTACCATGTCCACCTCCGCCAGGGGCTGACTGTATAACTGGGCATTCTTAGAATTAGCTTACGTGTACGATACACGTACAATTAAGGGATAAGTAATAACATGTGCTAATTTGAAGCTTTCATATCAATTATTTTGATACTCAACAGTAACCCCAGCAATTGTTTACAGCTTATACCGACAAAAGATTTTTCTCAGGGAAGAGTATCTCATCATCGACAGTGTTTAGATTGCAGGCACATGGTGATGATCGAAAAAAAAAAAACCAGACTGACTTTTAGTTGGTTTTATTACTATTTTAAGTGCCCCCCCAGAAACCCCACCCCCTTAGTGCACATGAAATGGGGCCGGGAGGCGGGGACGGAGGAAGGGCAGAGCTGCGGGGGGAGGGGGGGTGGCGGGGGTAGTGGTAAAAGCTCCTGGAGCACCTCTATTTTACATACTGTGCTTCCAAATATGATTTTTTTCTTTCC